GTTCTCTTGGCAGTCCACGATACCTTCAGCATCTTCGCCAGCACCGCACCTCAAAAGCATTGACTCTTCTTCCATCTTCCTTGTTCATTGTCCAGTTTTAACATTCATATGAGGTGATAAAAAATACCATAGCTTGGGTCAGTCACACCTTAGTCTTCAAAATGACATCTTTGCTCTTTAACACTTTAAAGAGGTCCCTTGCAAGAGATTTGCCCAATGTAACTTTTTTTGACATCTGATTTCTTGACCTCTGCTTCCATAGATTCCTAGGGCCGCCATAAAAAGAGCCACAGATTGGGAGGCTTAAAACAAAAGAAATGTGTTCTCTCACAGTTCTGGAGGCTAGAAGCCCAAATTTGGGTTGCCAGCAGGGCCATCCTCTCTCCGAAGGCTCTAAGGAATGACCCTTCCTTGCCTCTTTCAGCTTCTGGTAGTCTCAGGCCTTCTTTGGTTTATGGCAGCATAATTCCAGCCTCCGCCTCTGTCTTCACATGGCCATCTTCCTCTGCATCTGTCTGTCTGTGTCTCTTCTTTTAGTATAAGAAGGCCAGTTATATTGGAGAAGGGCCCACCTTACTCCAGTCTGACCGCATGTTAACTAATTATATCTTCAAAAACCCTATTTCCAAATAAGATCACGTTTACAGGTACTGGAGGTTAAGACTTCAACATAACTTGTGTGTGTGTGTGTGTGTGTGTGTGATAAAATATATATAATATAAAACTTGCCATTTTAACCATTTTTTAGTGTTCCATTCAATGCCATTAATTCTATTCACAATGTTGTGCAACTATCAGTTTCTATTATTGAACACATCTTTTGGGGGAGACACAAATCAACCCTTAATAGCCCTCGTTTCTGGATTCCTCCCCACACACAGGCCAGTGTCTGGCACCTAGGGGGTGCTCGGTTTATGACTGTTACACTGATGGAGCTGAGAGGGCAATTGGGGAGACACCTGAAAGAGTCAGGATTGCTTATGAGGCAAGGGAAGAGGGTGCCAACTGTGCAGTGGGAGGTTCGAGGGGCTGTGAGGGGAGGGTAATGCCTTTTAAACTGGATTCAAACAATCTTTTTTAGACCCAATATTTGTATATAGTACATATAGGTTTGTGTGTGTGTGTGAGTGTGTATGTGCCTGGGTAGCGCACTTAAGTACTAGCCAAAAGCTTGGCTGTTCAAGCTCACCAAAAGGGGCCTCAGAAGACAGTCCCAGCAAAAAGTCACAGACTTGAAAACCCTATGAAGCAGTTCTACTCTGCGCCCATGGAGGCGCCATGAGCTGGAATTGACTGGACAGCAACAAAGAAGAATAGATGACATTTGCCATCTCAACATTTTTTACATGTATAATTCAGTGGTTACTTTTTCTTGAAGTATAACATACTTCCAGAGAAGTGTACATATTGGAAGTGTACCACTCGATGAATTGCCATAAAGTGGAAACGCCCACGTAGCAGTTCTCCAATCAAGAAACAGAACCCTTCCAGAGCTCCAGAAGCTGCCGAGATGCCCTCTGCCAGTTAGTACGTGGACCTTACCCCAAGAGTAGCTACTGTCCTGACTTCTAACAGCACACATTCATTTTGCCACTTCTTAAATTTTACATACATGGAACCACTATGTGGTTCCATAGTCTATTGCTCTTTTTTGGCTGGCACCTTTCGCTCTACATCCTATTGGTGAGCCTCATCTGTATTATTGGGGATGGTTGTACTAATCTCATTGCTGTGTCTTGTTCTCTTATATGGCTATACCACAATTACTTTATCCATTATACAGCTGATGGGCATCTGGGTTGTTTTCAGTTAAACTGGATTTTGAAGGAAGGGAGAAACTATGGTTGACAGAGAGAAGGGCAGAATGTTCTAGGTGGTGAAATGCCCTGGTACGAGCCTGGAGGGGGGTCATATGAAAGGCTAAGTGTAAATTCACATTTGACAACTCTTCTAAGCATTCTATGAGCACCTAATCATTTCATAATCACAGCAGACCTATGAGGTTGGTGTTACTGCCTTTGTTTTACTGATGAGGAAACAGAACCAGAGACATTAAGTAACTTACTCAAGTTTACACAGCTAGTAAATGGCACAACCAAGATTTGAACTCTTGCCATTTGAAACCAAGTGAAGAAACTGGAGGCTCAGAGGGGTTAGGTAATTCACCTAAGGCCACACATCCGAGGGCTGAACTCTGCAGTGTCTGATGCCAGAACTGTAGCTCTATCCAATAAGCCCACATTCTCCCCCTTAGAACTTGGAAGAGGGTCCAACAACTTCCTGATCCCCATGAAGCCCTCATCCCAAAGGGATGACAGTCAGAAACAAAAAGAGGCTCAAGAATTTCAACCTGTCTTTGGATGGGGTCAGTTTAGGTCAGTGAAAGGCACTCAGGACATCTAGGGATGCCCCTGCGTTTGGAAGTAGACCCACAAAGGGCCACCCTGATTGTCCCCTACCCTTAGTCACTCAAAGAACCTTTAGTCCTTTCCATCTCCCAGGGCTGAGGAGCAGCCAGCTGGGCCCAAGCCCCAACATCATCACCATAGCTCCCTTGGATTACCCCCTCCTGCTTTGTGGGAAAGCTGGTACTGAGGGGCCCCAAAACAGGAACCTGAGAGCTAAAGGCCACTCCTCCCAGTCCCCAGACTGCAGATTAATGACAGGAAAAGGCCAAGGGAAAGAGCTGCAATTAGAGGGTAGCCAGGCGGAGAATTTACTCTTCCCCAACAAAGCTTACTTCTGGCCCCATGCCAGTCCTCCAGCTTGCTTTCCAGGCTCATTCATCCCTGGGGCTTCGAGGCCGATTCCCAGCCTCCTGTTCTGCAGAGCAGGCTGAGGGCTGGTGGAGGGAAGGCCACAATAAGCCCCATCAGTCTATAAATAGCAGCCCAGCTTGCCCTCCTTGGACCCAGGCCAATCCAGCGTCCACCCTTTCTCTGTTCCCTCTTTTCCATGCACTAAGAGCAGGAAGTTATCCAGGCAGCTGCATCCTAGCTATACAAGAGGAGGAAATAAGTGGAAGGTGGAGGAGAGAAGGGGAAAGAAAGGGAGAGAGAGAGGAAAGACCAGTGGGAGGAGAAAACCAAGCAAGGATGATGGAGGAGATGCATGGGAACCAGGACTGTCACCCCACAGTCAGGCTTTTCTCTTTCTACCCCTACTCACAGCGCCCTTTCCCAGCCCCTCACTGTACTCCACAAGAGGCTTTCTGACTGAGGCCACAGATGCCCCACCCATGAGGTCCTTATGGTGGTAGTGTCTGATTGGCCTGACCACTAGCCTAGTTTCTGGTCAACTATCTTACTGGTCTAGGAACTTGTGGCCCCAGATTGCTGGCTTGGTTTTGGTATAGACCCACCAAGAGTGCTGAACTGCTACACTGCAGTCCACAGGAGTTGGGGCCAATTGTTTGCGTGTTGGGAGCAGAGTGGCAGGTGATATCGAGAGGGGCTTTTCACTGGACCCTCTCTCCTTTAATAGGAAAGAGGATGTGAAACTTTCAGCTTTGTGTGTGTTTGGGGCTATAGTTCCTTAAGCCCTTATCTAGGTTGTCTGCAGTCTATCTGTCTGGCCATCTGTGAACCTTGGTTCCTGTGTGTATCTTCTGGTCTTGACTGTTTATCTTGATACAGATTCAGCCTCAACTTCTGATGTCTAAAGCCTGCCCTCCTTACCTGCCTAGCCCCGGTTTCTGGCTGCCATCTTGGCATGTGCATGAATATACAGTTAAGAATGCTCATTTCCTGAAAACAGTATCATCAACACAAACAATCAGTCATGCTCAGAAGTCCAAACACA